TCTATCTATCTATCTATCTATCTATCTATCTATCTATCTATCTATCTATCTATCTATCTATCTATCTATCTATTGAATTTATATGGCCGCCTATCTCACTTGCATGTGACTCTGGGCAGCGTACACAATTAAAACACAACTAACAATCACAACCTTCAACCATTAAAACCAATTAAAAAACAGTTAAAAGCTACAGTTAAAAAGTACAACATTGCAAGTTAGAGAATTGGGGGGAACTGGATGGGAAAGGCAGGAACAAAAAGCTTCTGAAAAGGACATAAGCAAACCTGGGCAGGAAAAAATGCAAGGCACATTCACTGTGAATTTATTCTCTGCACCAGAATGATCTCTTAGTAAATGTTTTTAATAAAGATTATAATGTCAGTGGAAAAGGAAGAGGAGAAGATGAGGTTATATTGCCATATATATAATATATATAATAATATATATATTAGAATGCTAATTGTGGAGAAAACAGCGAAATGGCTTATGTTTTGCTGTTTGGAAGAAAAAAAAGGATAGTGTTCTGAAATAATAGAAGACAAACCAAAACTTTAATTTTGTATGACTTCATTTTCCTTTTCACCAGTGGATCTGTTTTTAATAGCCTCTCAGGCATTTTAAATTTTATTAGCAAAGTATGCAAACATTATCAGAAGTTATTCCACTGGCATAATTATTATGACAGAAACAATCTTTTTTTCTCCAGAGGACTTTTTTTTTTTCTGCCTTAAATTCACATGTCCCTCAAGGATGAAACTTTATTACCTCTAGCTCCCAGCAAAAAGCATTTCTAGGACTTAACACTTCCGATTTGTTATTTTTAGCGTATGAGTTTTTAAATCGTTACAGTTTGGCAGATGCAATGATTTATGTAAATTCTTTATCATCTCATGGGGGATTAATGTACTGTAATTTGATAATGGCCCTCCACTTTAACAGTCAGGACTACTTCCAAAAGAGAGCAACTTGATTGCAGATGATGGACTGTGTAAACGTCCACCAACTTCCACGATATGACCAAAGATTCATTTATCATAACCATTTTTTCTTTACAGGACTTTAATTACAATTGCCATTGATTATCAGATGTAGAATACAACGTGGTTATTCACTGGCATGATATTTTATGTACTTTAATTGCATTGAGATTTCTGTTACTTTCACCAAAAATGTTTATCTAGCCTTAACGAAGAGTTGTAGCAGTGAGGGTGCTTAATGCCCTGAAATACTGCACAACTAACAAAGGCAACAAGAAGTGATCTAAGTTTAATCTACTTTGAAAGGTAAAATATCAATTTCATAGTACATATAAACCAGATAAAGCTGGACCATTTGCTTGGCAAGCTTTTCATTTCAATGATGTCTGCGCATTTCAAGAGCTAGAAAAGTCAGGGCTCAATATAGAACATGCGTTCTGATGTTCCTTAACACAGCAGATACAATGATCTATTAATACAATTTATGTAAGCTTCGTAGGCTGGGGAAAAAAATGACCTTATAGGAAATTGAATTGTCATCAAGGGTAATGTTGAATCAACGTGAATGGGAATCCTATTTGCTTATAAAAGTCAAACCACTGAAGACCTGAAGAGAAAAAATTTCAGTCATCTGCTTAATAATGCATTTACTGAATCTGTTTTTAAATCAATAGAGATTAATTGTGTTGAGAATTAATGCTGATAAATGTTAAGCTAAGGGTCAATAAATTTACCTTAAATGCAGATCTCTATTAAAATGCCTATATCTAAGTATGCATTCAATATGGCTGATTCTTTATATAGTCATTTCAATTTAGTTCTGGTTGTAGGACACATTAAATCATTTCAAAGATAAAGGTAAAGTAAAGGTAAGAGTAAAAGGGAAACATCTGCATTTGCTTTTTAAAAAATGCAATGCCCGTAAATCACACTGCATTTATGGATACTTTCAGCAAGTTTTGAAAAGTATTTTGCACTAAAAATAATTAGCAAAATATTACTTTATTTCTGACTGCTAAACTTCTGTTGCATGTTGCTTCTAAACAGTAACTATTACCAACTAAGAATTGTACTAACCTACCATAGTTAGTACCAGTTTACATAATACATGTCACTTAAAGATATTTTAGAGTCTTATGCTGATACTTAAAACTCTTATAGAAAATATTCTAGGAGGGGAGCAGGAGAGGAATTAGTTACACTATATATGACGGTTTACTTTTCAGTGAAATCTTTGGCAAATATGTTGAACAGACGCAGCTTGCTCCAATCCAGCATGGATTATGGATTTTTCCCTCCAATGTGAAATGCATAAATCTAGACACATAAATATTTTGACAGCATCCATAAAATTACCACTTCTATTAAAAGATGAATCTTTGGCACCTTCTTGGAACAGGCTATAATCATGGAAGGGGCTATAATTACATTCCCCTCTAAATCATTGTACACTAATGTTTAAAATAAATAGAAAGCTTCTATTCTAAAGATTCTAGTCTTCCCATTTTTTAAAATATGTGGGGAAGAGACAGTTTTTTAAAATTAATCAAATGAATTCCAGCGATCCTAAATAGAATCTATGATCAAACTTTACAAATATAAGAATTCCAAATATAAAAGAGCAAAGAGAAAACCATGCATTATTTGGAAACTTCATTTCAGAAAGGAAAAGCAACAATATCTGAAATGTATTTGAAATCCTTTAATGCCCACAAATTCAGATGCATGCTTGTTAGAGAACACATTTCAGTGACTTCCACAGCACTCTGCCCAAATCAACATGCAAATGATGATCACCTATGAGAAACTGATTAAAAATGAAAGATCTGTCCCAAACTGTTGGATTGTATCTAATTGTATCATCCTTGAAGTACACACAGTTACTAGTCATCTTCTATAATCTTGTTCAAATTTGCAAAGTGAACAATATATACCTGTGCGCTTGTATAATTTAAAAAAAATTTTTTTAAGGATTCTTGAGCCAAAGCTTTAATATCATCATTGAAAGAAGGAAAACCAAAGTCAGGAAAGTTACTGAAGCTGAGTTTATACTAAAGGTAACAAAAACCTCCCCCAACCCAGTGCTGCCTACTTAGTAGCTGTTTTACCATTAGCCCAACTCCATCTTGTATTAGTAGTACAACTTCCAGGGACCAGTTTTTGCCTTTAAAAGCAAGATCAGGGGTTCTAGAGCTCCTACTCTGTCAAACCCAGAGCAGATTTCAGACAAAGGAAAACAAAATAAAACCAGGAACATACCTAAATTGACAAAGCTCATGACCATATCTGCATCATTCAGAAAGTTGGTGTCATGCAGGCTAGCTAAGGTGGGACTCCGCGTAGGCAGTGAACTTGTACGTGATACGTATATTCGTCGGGAGTATCCATTTGGAGATGCCAGGTAGCCCTTCCTTAGCCCTTTGCTCTCTCCACTCGGGGATGATCCCCTCACCAAATATTCCAACTCTTCAGGATCGTCTTCATTTGTCATCGCATTGTAGAGGTCCAGCATGAAGAGGGGTGCTGAGGAAGCTTGTTTTCCAGGTGAAAATGGTCTGGGTCTATGAGGCAAACCCAGGATGGAAAGAATTTCTCTCTGGATCTCTCTCCTCTCATGGTTCCGTAATCTCCGATAAATAAAACTGGAGTGGACGTGATTGTTCCCCATGTTTGCCTTAGCGTAACCCATTAAAAGCCAGTAATTCCAGAGCAAGCTCAATAGAGCTTTAAGCAGAATTTGGTCCATTTTTAAAAAAAATAAAATGCACAATTAGCTTTGCAAAATGTTTTATTTTCCTTTTTCTGGTCTCTTATGAAGTCTGATGTTCCCAGTACCAAGGAAGGTTAAAATAAAAATAAATAAATGAATGGTGAATTACCTATTCTTCATGTCAGTGTTGCCATTTCTGCACCTCCCATCTTGGTCATCTTCTTCCACTTCTTCCTTAAGTATGATGGGACATGTCGGGCTGCATGCACTTCTATGAAAGCTGAAATTCAGACTTCCAGTTTTCTACTGTTGTTTCTGTTTTTCCTGCACTGGTGGAACAGATGCCCAGAAGCTGATCAGTTGATGCAGGCATTCCTATTCAAGACCTTGAAATGACCAGACTTGGGGATACTGTTGTATGAAACAAGAGATAATCTTCTGTCAGACTGCCATTATCAGCAGAGTCCCCTCCTGCTCTGGTTCCTAATCCCCAACTAGATAACTCTTCTCCCACCTTGCTGTCCTTTCCTGAATCACAGCTTTCTGTCTTCAACTACTGCTTGGAGATGGTGCAATTTCTCTCTGGTGGGTTGTTTTTTTTTTTTCAGTATCCAGCTGAGCCTATTAACATTTTTAATGTCCAGCCCATCTGAAACATGCACCACAGGCTTAAAAGGCCCTCCTCTGAATTCACCCAGGAATATATTGAAAAAAAGGAACCCCTTTCTCAAAATCCATCCAGTCTTTTTCAGTTCCTTAAAAGTGATTTTCACCTCTACCAGGCAAAAATAGAGCAGCTCCCTTCAAGAGAGATCTGAAAGCTAATGTAAGCACAACCCTGCTGGGAGAGAAGAGGCTTCTCATTGTAATTTGAAACTGGCAAAGTAAGGGGGGAAATGCATTAACCCTTCTGCTGCCACACGGTTGCTCCCCCCCCCCCTCCACAGCCAGCGTATAGTCCTCTCTCTAACAGGATGGGGGTAATGACGTCTCCAAAATAATTACGTCAACAGAATGATCTTAATATTAGCATGCAATTCACATGAACGGTTGCAAAGTTGATAGACCATAGGGGTTGTTTGAATTATACTAGTTTGCCGAACATATTCAACTATATCCTCCCTCACCCTCGTTAAACACGACCACTTGCAGCCCAGGTTAAATATTTTAACGTTCCACTGAGATCAGCAGATGATGGCCTGGAGTTTTTTGCAACATACTCTTTAATTTGGAAGGGCCCCATCCAACTGCAGTTAAACGCTTAGAGTCACACGCATTTCAAGCAGAGACCTAAAAAGCTGGCTTATCTTTCTGGTTAAAGGAGCATGACTGAGAACACAATTCTGGAGCCAGCTGCCTAAGGTAGACCCAGTGGGAACAGACTGGCTACTCCTATACCAAAAGCGTGAATGCTGCTTTTCACTTACGTAACCTCCAAATTTAGACTGAAAACAGATTTTATTTACAAAATAGTAGAAGGGATGTGATGGGTTTTTCACCAACCCTTGGAACGTTTTCTTCTTTCATCTTCCTGTTTGCTTTTCTTGATATATTACATTTAGTAACTATTAGTCTGCTGCGGGGATTGATTAAAAAGTGGGGGGGGGGAAGCTGCACATACTTGCAATATAGTTTGCTTCATTTTTCTTTCAAGGCAGTCATGAGTCACTGTCAGTACAATCAACCTCAGTCTCCTGAGAAGAATGCAAGTCTTCCGGATTGGACAAACACTTCGTTTGGTAAAATGAAAAATAGCAGGCCCAACTGACACCAGTGTGAAGGTCTCACTGATCCATTAACATCCCAACTGAGCGTATGAGCTTCTTGCATTGAAAAGAGTTGGGACTTGTTCATTTTATTGTTTGTTTGTCTACAGGGTAGATTTTTTTTATTAGTGCTGCACTAATCCAATGGAAATCATGACTCAATATTTCAGTAATCAAGTGATGAGCCTTCATTTGTGAATTCAGCCTTTCGTTTTATGTTACATTTCCCCTTTCACCACACTTTCAACACAAAAGTACGTGCTTTATTTTATCAAACAGGAAATACCAAAAGGGCATCAGGGATTAATTGATTAAATGAGGACATCACTGTATCTGGGCAATGGATTCTCAATGAATTCATTTCCTCCCACTCTAGCCACTTAAATAGTATCAATCCACAGACAATCTTTATACTTGGACTTTTATTATTATTTACAAATGAGTCTATTGGCCAAGGAATACATAAAGTGATACTCAGGTTGGGTAATATTAGCAGACAAGGAAACACAACTGTGCCAGAACAAACTAAAAACAGCTAGAAAATATTTTTGGGATAAAGTTGTCACATCTGTAGTACACTAAAGAAAGAGCTAAGTTAGGAAGTAGTTTCACTGTTTGAAAACTACTACAGAAACATGTAATATGTCTCATGAACTCACCCACCCAACCCCTGAAGATAGTGAGAAAGACCCACTAAGTCATCAAGCCCCTAAGCAAATTTAAAGAAATGTGCCTGGTTTCTAATAGCTGAAATATACAGCTTGAGGTGCTTATAATAAAAAAGTTTTTCCCTCCTGGATGTCAACAATTGAGATGTTTGTCCCACCCTTTGAAAATAAGCATAACAAAATTTAACCTGTGACAAAATGTAAAAAATTACCTACAAATGCTTCTCCATTTATGCTTTTTCTTGGGTGTTATAGCCACATTAAGGTCACTTCTGGGCTGGAGCCAACAAATTTATCAAAGCATAAGAACAGCCCTGCTGGATTAAACCAGAACTACGGCCATCCCAGAAGCTTCCTTTCAACATTGGCCAACCAAGAGCTTCTAGATGTCCACAGATAGGACCCAAGCTCTCAGAAATTGGTTTAAGGGATTTTCCATTTAAGTACCATGGCCAAGTAAGACAAGATAAATATAGCCACACAGAACAAAATAATTGGTCTTATGGAACTGACTCAACTACTTGACATTTAGCAAAATAAATTTTCACACAAAATTGACCCAGTCCCTGTTGTTCTTACTGACTTTGCAGGTACCAGGAGAAAATTATGGTGGGCTATTCCTGAACAATATATCTGGTACATTATTTACATAAATTGTATGCTCTCATCATTCAAATTCTCCCACTGTGGCCTAACAGAATTCTTCTGAAATCTAGTTGGATTCTTCTCAGATCCAATTACATTCCCTTCAAGGAGACCTAAGTATCATATGACATGATTAAGGAACCTATGGCTCTCCAGATGCTGTCAGAGAAAACCTCCATCATGCTGACAGCCATCTTACTGGCTGGCCCCTGTGGGAGTTGGCAACCAACAAACCCGGAAAGCAGTGCACATATGGACCTAAAGTGAACATTCATGTCAGTGCTAAGGTTCTGAATTACACTGCTGCGGACTAGATAAGCCCTTTAATGAGAGAGCAACTTTCCAGGTGTGAAATAAATTGCTATGAATTCTCCAATACAATCTTGCTATAAATTGTAAAAGATACACAGATGCAGCAGAGAGGGGCTCAGATGCATTAAAGCAGCTTAAAAAGATCTACAGTTCAGTCCAGCTCACTTGGAAATAGGTCTCACTGATTTAAACCAGATTTACATATTAATAAAATTGCCATGATTTAAATGCTTATCAGAATTATTCCAGCTGTGTAAGGCAGAGAAATTAAAGCAGACCCAGACAATTAGATATATCAGTGGCCCAGAAATTTCTATTTTTGGCAGAAGACCTACATCCTGCAAGGGGTAGAAAGCTTGCTTTCTGCTAATGCATTGTTGACGCCTTGTTTTTGAGAAAGATCACAAAGAAAGGCCACTTGCAGTGAAATGACAACTTTTAGAGACAAAAACAAGAGCACACCAGGAATAAACTTTTCCAGAGTCTGAGGTAGCATGGAGGAAAGTTGTATTGAGCCAGGGGATCAACCTTGCCTCTGCTCAGGCAGAAACTGATGTGAAAGCAGTTTCCTCAGAAAACTAAACTCCTCATAAAGAAAAATGCCTTGGAAAATATGCGACAAAGGCTACAAAGTCATGTAGCTCTTTAAAGACGAAGAAACTGGACATAGGTTTCTATGGGCTGCAGTCCATTTCATCAGGGACGCAACTGAGGAGATTGGTTGTGGTTTGTAGGCACTTGTGTTGCAATAAACAGAAAGCAACACTTTGGGACTTTGGCTTGTGGTATAGCAGACTCACACAAGTACAGTACTCTTCTGGAATCTGAGAATGTACAAATACTTCTCATTCTTCATTCCACTGAAGAATCACAGGAAAAGTCTCTGCTTTTCTTGGATAGAAAGGCAGTTTCCAAAGCAGAATACAGGTGGTCCTCAGTTAACAACCACTCATTCAGCAACCATTTAAACTTATGATGGCACTGAACGAGTGGTATTTATGACCAGTCCTCGAAATTCTGGCTGTTGCAGCACCCCCACAGTCACATGATCATGATTCAGGCACCTGGCAACCAGCCTAAATTTCCAACCATCACAGTGTTCCATGGTCACATGATCGCAATTTGCTACCTTCCCTGCCAGCTTTCCACAAGCAAGTCAGTGGGGAAGCCGGCAGGAAGTCAGAAGGTGCAGGCACATGAGGTCCTCACTTAATGACCTGTAGTGATTCACTCAACAACAGAAACCGGGGACTGCCGGAACTAAGCAGCGTGGTCACATGACATCATATTTAACTACCGCGTCGCTTAGCAACAGTAATTCCAGTCCCAATTACTGTCGTTAAGTGAGGACTACCTGTATGTCTTTTGTTTAGGTAGGTCCCAACATCTTTTTTTTAGAAATGGATAGTTTAATTGCATGGAGTTGGTGGGCTGCAATGGGCTGCGTCCAACGTTATGCAAGTAAATGTCCCCTTTCTCTCCCCAGGCCCTATAGCCCTTTGACCAGGCCCCAAAAATTCTGCTGTAGGGAGAGAATTTATTCTACCCCTCAGATCCATTACATTAGTGAGCAGAGAATACTGCACATCCTAAGAAATAAGGATGATGTAATGAATGGGAGTGCTTGTTTAACAAGTCAGTTTTTAAGGTAGATTTTGATTTGTTTGCCTAGCTTGATATAAGGAATATTTGGTATAGGGGCATTACATTTAATAATGTCATCAATCACTCTTAAAATAATGAGAATGTGAAGATCATAAGTTATATTTTAATCAGTCTCTTAAACCTGGAAATAGCATATTACAAGAAAGAAATAACACTGCACAACAGAACTTTAAATGAGCATTTTTTAAATTAGCATATATTTAATTAGTGTATTAATTTAATAATAATAATTGTTATCGTCTGAATTGTATGCTTTATTTTCCTAACAGCACACCATGTATATTTTAGGTTTCTAGTGACAGTTCCTTCATTTCAATATATCATCTTTTCTGTAGTACAAGGCAGAACTATATTCACGTATACCAGTAAGGCAGAATTATAATTATTGCTAAGCATAAATCACTTTTCTCTGCATCATGTTAACTTTCCATTTTAAAAACTTAAAGAACGAAATAGGATAAAATTGGTTGGACATGGAGCCAGTAGTTGCCAATGGCGGGTGCCATTGTTGAAAACCCTGGAGTTAACCTTGTAACTTTTCATTTGCTTTAAATTAGAGTTGTGACATTTTTTTTTAACAGAAAAACAAATACATGAAGAAAAAGTGAATGGGTCAAGAGGGTGGAAGAAGTCATGTTTGAATGGATTTGAGGAGGCCTTCAAAACTAAAGTGGTCTTACAGTTGAATTCTGGAGGGGTTTTCTGAGCCACATACAATCCTGCAGCATCAGTTTGTGTATCTCGAA